GTAACAGCCACTCTAAAAATGTACTAAATGGTAAAGAGCATCAACACAATGAAGAAACTGCATCAACTAACGGGCAAAACATCCAGCTAGCATCAAAATGGCAGGATCAAATTCACACATAACAATATTAACCTTAAACATAAATGGGCTAAATGCCCCAAACAAAAGACACAGACTGACAAATTGCATAAAAAGTCAAAACCCATCAGTGTGCTATATTCGGGAAACCCATCGCATGTGCAAGGACACAAAGAGACTCAAAATAAAGGTATGGAAGAAGATTTACCAAGCAAATCGAGAGCAAAAAGAGGCAGGACTTGGAATCCTAGTCTCTGATAAAACAGACTTTAAACCAACAAAGATCAAAAGAGACAAAGAAGGGTATTACCTAATGGTAAAAGGATCAATGGAACAAGAAGAGCTAACTATCCTAAATATATATGAACTCAACACAGGAGCACCCAGATACATAAAGCAAGTTCTTAATGACCTACAAAGAGACTTAGACTACCACACAATAACAGTGGGAGATTTTAACACTCCACTCTCAATACTAGACAGATCAACAAGACAGAAAATTAACAAGATTATCCAGGACCTGAAGTCAGATCTGGACCAAGCAAACCTAATAGACATCTACAGAACAATCCACCCCAAATCCATAGAACATACATTCTTCTCAACACTATATCGCACCTACTCTAAAATTGACCACATAATTGGAAGCAAATCACTCAGCAAATGCCAAAGAATGGAAATCATAACAAACAGTCTCTCAGACCGCAGTGCAATCAATTAGAACTTAGGATTAAGAAACTAACTCAGAACCACACAACTTCATGGAAACTGAACAACTGGCTCATGAATGTTGACTGGATAAACAATGAAATGAAGGCAGAAATAAAGGTGTTCGTTGAAACCAACAAGAACGAATACACAATGTACCATAATATCTGGGACACATTTAAAGCAGTGTCTAGAGGAAAATTTATAGCAATAAATGCCCACATGAGAAGCAAGGAAAGATCTAAAATCAACAGCCTATCATCAAAATTGAAAAAAAAAAAAAAAAAAAACTCAAAAGCTAGAGAAGAAGAAATGACTAAGATCAGAGCAGAACTGAAGGAGATAGAGACACAAAAAAACCCTTCAAAAAAGCAATAAATACAGGAGCTGTTTCTTGAAAAGATTAATAAATGGACAGGCCATTAGCTAGATTAATAAAAAGGAAAAGAGAGAAGAATCAAATAGATGCAATAAAAAACGATAAAGGGGATATCACCACAGATTCCATAGAAATACAAACTACCATTGGAGATTACCACAAACAACTTTATGCACATAAACCATTAAACCTGGAAGAAATGGATACATTCCTGGACGTTGTACCCTCCCTAGCCTAAACCAGGAAGAAGTTGGAATCCTGAATAGACCAATAACAATGGCTGAAGGTGAAGCAGCAATTAATAGTCTACCAACCAAAAAAAGCCCAGGTCTAGATGGGTTCACAGCCGAATTCTACCAGACATACAAAGAGTAGCTGTTACCATTCCTTCTGAAACTATTCCAAACAATATAAAAAGAGGGAATGCTTCCCAAATCATTTTATCAGACCAATATCATCCCGATATCAAAAGCTGGCAGAGACTAAACAAAAAAAGAAAACTTCAGGCCAATATCCATGATGAACATAGATGCAAAAATCTTCAATAAAATACTGGCAAACCAATTGCAACAGCACATCAAAAAAACTTACCCATCACGATTAAATAGGCTTCATCCCTGGGATGCAAGGCTGGTTCAACATTCACAAGTCTATAAACATAATCTACCACATAAACCGAACCAAAGACAAAAACCACATGATCATAGATGTGATAGGTGCTGAAAAGGCCTTCAACAAAATTCAACAGCCCTTTATGCTAAAAACTCTCAATAAACTAGGTATAGATGGAACATATCTCAAAACAATAAAAGCTATTTATGACAAACCCACATTGAATATCATACTAAATGTGCAAAAACTGGAAGCATTCCATTTGAAATCTGGCACTAGACAAGGATGCCCGCTCTCACCACTCATATTCAATATAGTATTGGAAGTTCTAGCCAGAGCAATCAGGCAGGAAAAAGAAATAATGGGTTTTCAATTAGGAAAGGAGGAGGTCAAATTGTCTCTATTTGCAGACGACATGATTGTATATTTAGAAGACCCCATTGTCTAAGCCCAAAGTCTTCTTAAACTGATAAGCAACTTCAGCAAAGTCTCGGGATACAAAATCAATGTGCAGAAATCACAAGCATTCCTATACACCAACAACAGACTAAAAAAGAACCAAATCAAGAGCAAATTCCCATTCACAATTGCTACAAAGTGAATAAAATACCTAGAAATACAACTAACAAAGGATGCAATGGAACTCCTCAAGGAGAACTACAAACCACTGCTCAAGGAAATAAGAGAGCACACAAACAGATGGAAAAACATTCCATGGGCATGATTTGGAAGAATCAATAATGTGAAAATGGCCATACTCCTCCTAGTAATTTATAGATTCAGTGCTATCCCCATCAATCTACCTATGATGCTCTTCACAGAACTGGAAAAAAACACCTTAAACTTCATACAGAATCAAAAGAGAGCCCACATAGCCAAGACAATCCTAAGCACAAAGAACAAAGCTGGAGACATCACGCTACCTGACTTCAAACTATACTACAAGTCTACAGTAATCAAAACAACATGGTACTGGTACCAAAACAGAGATAAAGACGAATGGAGTAGAACAGAGGCCCTGGAGGCAACACCACAAATCTACAACCATCTTATCTTTGACAAACCTGATAAAAACAAGCAATGGGGAAAGGATTCCCTGTTAAATAAATGGTGTTGGGATAACTGGCTAGCCATGTGCAGAAAACAGAAACCAGACCACTTCCTGACACCTTACACTAAAATTAACCCCAGATGAATTAAAGACTTAAACATAAGACCTAACACCATAAAAACCCTATAAGAAAATCTAGGCAAAACCATTCAGGACATAGGCATATGCAAGGACTTCATGACTAAAACACCAAAAGCACTGGGAACCAAAGCCAAAATAGACAAATGGGATCTAATTAAACTCCAGAGCTTCTGTACAGCAAAAGAAATAATTATTAGAGTGAACCGGCAACCAAGAAATGGGAAAAACTTTTTGCAATCTATCCATCTGACAAAGGGCTAATATCCAGAATCTACAAAGAACTAAAACAGATTTACAAGAAAAAAACAAACAACCCTTTCAAAAGTGGGCAAAGGATATGAACAGACACTTTTCAAAAGAAGACATATATGAGGCCAACAGGCATATGAGAAAATGCTCATCATCACTGGTCATTAGAGAAAGGCAAATCAAAACTACATTGAGATACCATCTCATGCCGGTTAGAATTGTGATCATTAAAAAATCTGGAGACAACAGATGCTGGAGAGGATATGGAGAAATAGGAACACTTGTACACTGTTGGTGGGAGTGTATATTAGTTCAACCATTGTGGAATACAGTGTGGCGTTTCCTCCAGGACCTAGAAATTGAAATTCCATTTGACCCAGCAATCCCATTACTGGGTAGATATCCAAACGACTTAAATCATTCTATTATAAAGACACATGTACGCGTATGTTAATTGCAGCACTGTTTACAATAGCAAAGACCTGGAAGCAACCCAAATGCCCATCGATGATAGACTGGACAGGGAAAATGTGGCACATACACACCATGGAATACTATGCAGCCATAAAAAATGATGAGTCTGTGTCCTTTGCAGGGACATGGATGAAACTGGAAACCATCAATCTCAGCAAACTGACACAAGAATAGAAAATCAAACACCACATGTTCTCACTCATAGGCGAGTGTTGAACAATGAGAACACATGGACACAGGGAAGGGAGCATCACACACTGGGGTCTGTTGTGAGGGACTAGGGGAAGGATAGTGGGGGATAGGGAGGTTAGGGAGGGATGACATGGAGAGAAATGCCAAATACAGGTGACCAGGGGTAGAGGCAGCAAGCCACATTGCCATGTACCTATGCAACAATCCTGCATGATCTGCACATGTACCCCAGAATCTAAAGTATAATAATATATATATATATAAATAAAGAAATGAATAAATAAAGTAGAATGATAGATTTTTAAAAATTTATATATTAACAAGTAAATAATAAAACCAAAACATACACACACAAAAAATAAATAAAGTGCTGCCAGTAAAGAAAACAGTTGTAGGTCATCTCGGTACATATTTCCCTGAAGAAAATCCATTTACAACATAGGTTTAGAAATTTCAAAATAACATTTTAACATGACGCTCTGGCTACATTGGTTCGTGGGATTAGGAGGTGCCAAAGGTTCCTTTAGGCTCCCTTTGATCCAGTAACTATGTTCCGTGAGTTTACAGTAAAAAAAAAACTTGATAAGAGTTGGATGATAAGCTTTCATGTGACCAAGTAAACCTGAACTCCAAGACTAAAAGACCTTATTTGCAGTAGCAAATACTAAAGGGTCAGGGCCTGTGGAGCACAATAGAATTTCCTTGAAATTGCTTTATTTCTATTTATGAGCCTGAGGCGATTGGTGGTGCATAACCTTGGGTAGTAACCATTTCTGGGTTACAGGTTTACCATGTGGACGATCACTGGGCAAAAAGAATAGGGGAGTTTACCTGCCTGGAATGGCCAAGGAGTTGTCTTCCCTGGGAGAGACAAAGAGCCCAGAGGCTACCTAGTCTTCCTCCCTACCCAAAGTGATGTTAAACACCGGAACTAGGAAAGAAAATGTTGGCGTTTGAGTCACACGAGACACACACACAAGCACGCATGCACGCACACCAAATAAAAGGTCTTATCCCAATCTCCAAAGTTTGCCAAGGCCCAGAACACTATCTCTGAGCCCCGCCCACAGCCTAGGAGACTCTCCACTTCCCTTTCCCCTCCCGCTCTCGGCTTACTTGTCCCGGATGATGGTCTGCAGCTCCCGGATCTGATCATTCATAGGCAGCAGCTTAAGCTGCGCCCCGATCTGCCGGGAGAGTTCGCAGTCCCCTAGGAAGGAGTCGCCAGCTGGTGCGTCATAGCTGCTACTGTCACCACTACCACTGTTGCTCTCTAAGATGAGGCTGGAGCCGCCACAGGCCCCGGTGTCCTGCTCGGCCGGCAGACTAGAATGTGCGTGCCCCGTGAGAAGAGTCACCTTGGCCCTGGGGGCTCTGTTTCCCCCTGCATGGTCCGGGATCGGGTCGCCAGGTCGCAGCTGCTCAGGACTTGGGGTTGAGGCAGAGTTTACTTGCTGGTTGTGACAGGGCATGGAGTCCGGACACTGTAACTCCGTGGCCATACACCGGCCCTGGGCTATCCCCGCTGCTACCGAACACTAAGGCTAAAGACAGACGGGTAAAAGGACAAATGCTCACGGACTCTCTCGGTTGCCCACGCTTCCCGAGAACATCAAACCCTGGCTGTCCTTTCACCCCTAGGCCGCTGTTGGTTTCCTTTAGCACACTTTGTCTCATTCCCGCCCACATCAGACGTACTGCCTGCCTAGACACCCTATTGGCTTTATACTCTGCCACTCTGCGGCGCCACTGATTGTTAACCCTTTGAGTCACCCCTGCTGCGTGGGTTCTCACAGGTAGCTAAGCCCCCCGAGGGTGGCCAGGGATGCCAGCTTGAAGGGGAGCCCTAAGGCTTCTGCATTCAGAACTTTGGGTGATAGAGCCAGGAGAAACTGGGGGTGGCAAGTGATGATACACAGTTATACACATAAGGCCCATGTTTTCAGACTTTGTGACCTAGCAAAGAAATTATACCTCAGTAACCATATCTTCAGTTAGCTTGTCTGCATAATGGAAGGAAGAAGTAAAAAATGCCTAGCAGGCTGCTGAAGAGCCTGTCCTCTACCAGACTGTTCTAGAAACTGCAGCTTCCCAAGTGTGCTCGACCGCCAAAGCTTTTCGTTTCTTTATTGGTTTGGCCTTACAATGTACACGTTGTCATGGGGATTCAGGCCGCATTTCAGATCCACTGTCATTTTGTATCTTTTAAGTACTTGGAAAGACGCTTATTTTTAAGTGTGGACTCACTATAATGGCCTGAAGTAAGAGTGTCAAGGGCAGTACTTTTCAAACATCAGTATGTACCACAATAATTGTAGAGCTTGTTAAAATGCAGGCAGGTTCTTATGGCTCATTTTTGAAATTCTGATTCTGTAGGTCTGAGATGGAACACAATAATCTTTTTTTTTTAACTTTCAGGTTCAGGGGTATATGTGCAGGTTTGTTACATAGATAAACTGGTGTCATGGTGTTTTGTTGTAAAGATTATTTCATCGCCCAGTTATTAAGCCTAGTACCCACTAGTTATCTTTCCTGATCCTCTCTCTCCTCACACCATGCACTCTTCAGTAGGCTCCAGTGTGTGTTGCTTCCTGCTATGTGTCCATGTGTTCTCATCATTTAGCTCCCACTTATAAGTGAGCACATGTGATATTTGGTTTTCTGTTCCTGTGTTAGCCTACTAAGGATAATGGACTCCAGCTCCATCCTTGTCCCTGGAAAGGACACGATCTCATAATTTTTATGGCTACATAGTATTCCATGGTGTCTATGTAACAAATTTTCTTTATCCATTCTATCATTGATGGGAAGTTAGGTTGATTCCATGTCTTTGTTATTGTAAATAGTGCTGGAGGGAACATATGTGTGTATGTGTCTTTAATAATACAATGATTTATGTTCCTTTAGGTATATACCCAGTAATGGGATTGCTGAGTCCAATGGTATGTCTGTCTTTACTGTTTTTTAACTTGCCTATAGAGATTTTTTTTAATTTTTTCTATTTCCATAGGTTACTGGGGAACAGGAGGTGTTTAGTTAGATAACTAAGTTCTTCAGTGTTGATTTGTGAGATTTTGGTGCACCCATCACCCAAGTAGTATACACTGCACTCTATTTGTAGTCTTTTATCTCTCACCCTCTTCCTACCCTTTTGCCCCAAGACTCCAAAGTCCATTGTATCATTCTTATGCCTTTGCAGCCATCATAGCTAAGGTCCCACTTATGAGTGAGAACACACAATGTTCGGTTTTCCATTCCTGGGTTACTTCATTTAGAATAACAGTCTCCAATTTCATCCAGGTCGCTGCAAAAACCATTAATTCATTCCTTTTTATGGCTGAGAAGTATCCCATTATATCTATATACATCTCACAACTTCTTTATCCGCTCATTGATTGATGGGCATTTCGGTTGGCTCCACATTTTTCAAATTGCAAATTATGTGCTATAAACATGCGTGTGCAAGTTTTTTTTTGTATAATGACTTATTTTCCTCTGGGTAGATACCCAGTAGTAGGATTGCTGGATCAAATGGTAGTTCTGCTTTTAGTTCTTTAAGGAATCTCCACACTGTTTTCCATTAGTTGACATTTCCACCAGCACTGCAGAAGTGTTCTCTGTTTATTGCATCCATGCCAACATCTACTATTTTTTGATTTTTTGATTATGGCCATTCTTGCAGGAGTAAGTGGTATTTATTTGTGGTTTTAATTTGCATCTCACTGATAATTAGTGATGATGAGCATTTTTTTTCATATGTTTGTTGGCCATTTGTATATCTTCTTTTGAGAATTGTCTATTCATGTTCTTAGCCCACTTTTTGATGGGATTTTTTTTTCTTGCTAATTTGTTTGAGTTCCTTGTAGATTCTGGATATTACTCGTTTGTCAGATGTATAGATTGTAAAGATTTTCTCCCACTCTGTGGGTTGTCTATTTACTCTACTGACTGTTCCTTTTGCTGTGCAAAAGCTCTTTAGTTTAATTAAGTTCCAGCAATTTATCTTTGTTTTTCTTGCATTTGCTTTCGTGTTCCTGGTCAAGAAATCCGTGGCTAAGCCAATGTCTAGAGAGGGTTTTTCCAATGTTATCTTCTAGAACTTTTATAGTTTCAGGTCTTAGATTTCAGTCCTTAATCCATCTTGCATTGATTTTTGTATAAGTTGAGAGATGAGGATCCGGTTTTATTCTCCTACATGTGGCTAGCCAATTATCCCAGCACCACTAGTTGAAAAGGGTGTCCTTTCCCCATTTTATATTTTTGTTTGCTTTGTTGAAGAGCAGTTGGATGTGTTTGAGATTATTTCAGATTTCTGCATTTTGTTCCATTGGTCTATGTGCCTATTTTAATACCAATACCATGCTGTATTGGTGACCATTGCCTTATAGTGTAGTTTGAAATCAGGTAATGTGATGCCTCCAGATTTACTCTTTTTGGCTATATGGGCTATTCTCCTTCCATATGAACTTTAGAATTGTTTTTTCTAATACTGTGAAGAATGATGGTGGTATTTTGACGGGAATTGCATTGGATTTGTAGATTGCTTTTGGCAGTGCGGTCATTTCCACAATATTGAATCTACATTTCCATGAGCATGAGATATGTTTCCATTTGTTTGTGTCATCTATAATTTCTTTCAGCAGTATTTTGTAGTTTTCCTTATAGAGGTCTTTAACCCCCTCAGTTAGGTATATTCCTAAGGATTTTATCTTTATTTTTTGAAGTGATTGTAAAAGGGTTGAATTCTTGATTTGATTCTCAATTTGGTTGCTGTTACTGTATAGAGGAGATACTGATTTGTGTACATTAATCTTGTTTCCAGAAAATTTGCTGAATCCTTTTATTAGTTCTAGGAGCTTTCTGGAGGAATCTTTAGGGTTTTCTAGGTAAACAATTATATCATCAACAAACAGTGACAATTTGACTTTCTCTTTACTGATGGGATGCCTTTTATTTCTACATCTTGTCTGATTGCTCTGGATAGGACTTCCAGTACTATGTTGAAGAGGAGTGTGAGAGTGAGCATCCTTGTCTTGTTCCAGTTTCCAGGGGGAATGCTTTCAACTTTTGCCATTCATTATTATGGGTTTGTGATAGATGGCTTTTATTACTTTAAGGTATATCCCCTTTGTGCCAATTTTGATGAGCATTTCAATCATGAAGGGATGCTGGATTTGTTGAATGCTTTTTTTGCAACTATTGAGATGATTATGTGATTTTTTAAAAATATACTTTAAGTTCTGGGGTACATGTGCAGAACGTGCAGGTTACGTAGGTATGTACATGCAATGGTGGTTAGCTGCAGCCATCAACCTGTCATCTATATTGGGTATTTCTCCTGATGCTATCCCTCACCTAATCCCCCAACTTGTGACAGGCCCTGGTGTGTGATGTTCCCCTCCCTGTGTCCGTGTGTTTTTATTGTTCATCTCCCACTTATGAGTGAGAACATGTGGTGTTTGGTTTTCCGTTCTTGTATTAGTTTGCCGAGTGATGGTTTCCAGCTTCATCCATGTCTCTGCAAAAGACATGAACTCATCCTTTTTTTGGCCACATAGTGTTCCACAGTGTACATGTGCCACATTTTCTTTGTCCAGTCTATCATCGATGGGCATTTGGGTTGATTCCAACTCTTTGCTACTGTGAACAGTGCTGCAATAAACCTACGTGTTCATGTGTCATTATAGTAGAATGATTTATAATCCTTTCAGTATATATCCAGTAATGAGATTGCTGGGTCAAATGGTATTTCTGATTCTAGATCCTTGAGGAATTGCCACACTGTCTTCCACAATGGTTGAACTAATTTACACTCCCACCAACAGTGTAAAAACATTCCTATTTCTCCACATCCTCTCCAGCAACTGTCATTTCCTGACTTTTTAATGATCACCATTCTAACTGGCATGAGATGATATCTCATTATAGTTTGATTTGCATTTCTCTAATGACCAGTAATGATGAGCTTTGTTTCATGTGTTTGTTAGCTGCATAAATGTCTTCTTTTGAGCAGTGTCTGTTCATATCCTTCACTCACTTTTTGATGGGGTTGTTTTTTTTTCTTGTAAATTTGTTTAAGTTCTTTGTAGATTCTGGATATTAGCCCTTTGTCAGATGGATAGATTGCAAAAAAAAATTTCCCATTCCGTAGGTTACCTGTTCACTCCGATGATAGTTTCTTTTGCTGTGCAGAAGTTCTTTAGTTTTATCAGCTCTCATTTGTCAATTTTGGCTTTTGCTGCCATTGCTTTTGATGTTTTAATCATGAAGACTTTGCCCATGCCTATTTTCTGAATGGTATTGCCTAGGTTTCCTTCTAGGGTTTTTATGGTTTTAGGTCTTACATTTAAGTTTTTAATACATCTTTAGTTAATTTTTGTATAAGATATAAGGAAAGGATCCAGTTTTAGTTTTCTGCATATGGCTAGCCAGTTGTTCCAACATCATTTATTAAATAGGGAATCGGATTTTTGTTTTTGATTCTGTTTATATAGTGTATCACATGTTTTGGCTTGCATATGTTAAACCATCCCTACATCCCTGGTGTGAAACCTACTTGATCATGATGGATCATTTTTTTGATACATTGTTGGATTTGGTTAGCTAGTATTTTGTTAAGGATTTTAGCATCTATGTACATCAAGGATATTGTCTGTAGTTTTCTTTTTTTCGTTATGTTCTTTCCTGGCTT